CCCCCCCCGGGGGGCCCCCCGGGGCCCCCGGGGGCCCCCGGGGCCCCCGCGGGGCCCCCCCGGATGCAGACGCGCAGCCCCGCGTGCCGCAGGGCCCCCTGGCAAGCCGCCAAGTAGCTGCTGAGCGGCAGCGGAGACAGAACCAGCAGCGCAGCAGAAGAGCCCGGGAAAGCCCGGCCCACTTGGAAGCAAAAAGCCGCCAACTGCTGCGGGGCTATGGGCCCCAAGACACACAGGTAGTCCTCCTCGGCCCCGGGGGCCCCCCCGTAGCTGCTGCGGGGCTCCCGCAGGGCCTCCAGCAGCCGCTGGATCTCCCCGGGCAAATAAACAAAGGCGGAGACTATAACACAAATGGCCAGGCCCCGGCCCGCGGGGGTCTCCGGGGCGAAGTCCCCGTAGCCCACAGTCATCACTGACACCACCGCGTAGAAGCAGAAGTCGAAGACAGAGTTATAGTTGGCAGAGGGCTTTGGGGCCTCTAAGATGAATATTCCGCCCGCAAAAGTCAACACTATCATCAGCCAAGAGACCCCGATGGAGACAACTCTCAAGGAGACTCTAGACAGAGTTGGAAAACATGAAGCCAGCACTGTCTCCGTGCGCAGCAGCCGCAGGAAGCGCAGCCAGCCCAGGCCCAGCAGCCAGGGGTAGCCGTGGGCGCGGGGGTCTCTGGCGAAAAAGCGGAAAAAATAAGAAGAGAGGGGCAAAGTGGCTAAGTCCACGAGGGAGTGGAAAGAAGCGAGGAAACTAAGAGGCTTTGCGGAGGCCAAAAGGCCCCCGCAGAAGTCCCAAGAGACCATCCAGGCGAAGGCAGCTTCCACGAAGGAATAGCACTCCGGCAAGTCCGAAAAAGACCAAAAAAGGAGACCTTTTTCTCGAGTTGGTCTCTTCAGAAAAGTGGTGGCCCACAGCCACACGCCGCACCAGGCCAGCGTGCGGGCCAGCACGGCCAGCAGCGCAGCGGGCGAGGCCACTGCTGGCAGCAGCAGGGCTCGTGCTGCAGCGCCCAGCAGCTGCAGCAGCAGCAGCAGCACGCGACACAGCCAGCTGCTGCTGCTGCTGCTGCTGCTGCTGCTCCCAGCCTCTTCCCACGCGCAGCCCTGCACCAGGCCCTCCCCGCCCCACAGCGCGCCCCCGGACAGCCCCCACCCGCCAGAGGCCCCGCCTGCTGCTGCTGCTGCTGCTGCTGCTGCTGCTGCTGCAGAGGCCCATGCTGCGCGCTCCGAAGACTCCACCCGCTGCAGCAGCAAACGCAAACGCCCCTCCAGACCCCGCGGACGCGGAGGCGGACTCCCGTAAAAGTCCAGCGTCGTCGCCGCCCACAGCAGCGCCGAAGACAGCTGCTGCTGCTGCTGCTGCTGCTGCTGCTGCTGCACGTACTGCTGCAGCAACGCCCCCTCCCGGGGCCCCGCGGCTTCCGCCTCGCTGCTGTGACGCAGCAGCGGCAAACCCCCGCCTCCCCGCACGCACGGGGCCCCCAAACCCCACTCCCCCTCCAGGGGGGCCCCGGGGGGGCCCCCCAGCGGGGCCCCCAGGGGGGGCCCCCGCAGCGGAGACCCAGCGTACCGCTGCGGAAGCCCCGCGCCGCCCCCAGCTGCTGCTGCTGCTGCTGCTGCTGCTGCTGGACTCCGCCCGTTCCGGCAACTCAACAAAAAACGGGACATGTCGTCCGACACAAAACGACGAGGAGCTGTACCCTCGAAACCCGCAGAAACCCCCCAAGCCAGGCTGCTGGGGGGGCCCCCCGGGGGGCCCCCCCCAAGGGGGCCCCCCCCCCCAGGGGGGCCCCCGGCCCCCAGAACCTCCCCAGAAAAGGCCCGAACCGCGCGAGGCACTGGGGAATCCTCCCGCTGCTGCTGCTGCTGCAGGTGCTGCTGCTGCTGCTTCCAGCCAGGGACCCCGGGGGGCTGCTGCTTGCCCCCGCGCCGCCCCCAGCGGAAAGAGAACATCCGGGACCACCACGGCTTGCTGCTTGCTGCTGCTGCTGCTGCTGCTGCTGCTGCTTCTGCTGCTTCGGCCGCTGCTGCTGCTGCCGGGGGGCCCCCAAAGTCCCGCAAACTCGTCTGGCTGTGCATCGTCTGCGCCCGCTGCTGCAGGTACTGCAGCAGCCGCTGCTGGTCCCAAGCAGCAGCAGCAGCAGCAGCAGCAGCAGCTTGTGCTGCAGCAGGCTGCTGCTGCCCGTCCACTCTGTGGGCGTAGCCCAGCAGCCGCCCTGAAAACAAAAAGACACAAAAGAGAAAATTAAAATTAAAATTAATTTCTCCAATTAAAAAACTAAAAGAGACAAAAAGAATCAAAAAAGAATTCCCAAAACAAAAAAATTAAAAGATATCAGTGGCTTTAAAGAAGACCAAAAGAGATCAAAAGAAACCCAAAAAGGAGATTCAAAAAGACACAAAAGAGACACAAAAGAGACACAAAAGAGACACAAAAAGCAGCAAAACAGCAGCAAAAGAGCAGCAAAGGAGCAGCAAAAGAGCAGCAAACGAGCAGCAAAGGAGCAGCAAAGGAGCAGCAAAAGAGCAGCAAAAGAGCAGCAAAAGAGCAGCAAAAGAGCCGCAAAAGAGCAGCAAAGGAGCAGCAAAAGAGCAGCAAAGGAGCAGCAAAGGAGCAGCAAAAGAGCAGCAAAAGAGCAGCAAAGGAGCCGCAAAAGAGCAGCAAAGGAGCAGCAAAAGAGCAGCAAAGGAGCAGCAAAGGAGCAGCAAAAGAGCAGCAAAAGAGCAGCAAAGGAGCCGCAAAAGAGCAGCAAAGGAGCAGCAAAAGAGCAGCAAAGGAGCAGCAAAGGAGCCGCAAAAGAGCAGCAAAAGAGCAGCAAAGGAGCCGCAAAAGAGCAGCAAAAGAGCAGCAAAAGAGCAGCAAAAGAGCAGCAAAGGAGCAGCAAAAGAGCAGCAAAGGAGCAGCAAAAGAGCAGCAAAGGAGCCGCAAACGAGCAGCAAACGAGCAGCAAAGGAGCAGCAAAGGAGCAGCAAAAGAGCAGCAAAAGAGCAGCAAAAGAGC